GGGGGGGGGGGGGGGGGAGAGAGAGAGAGAGAATAAAAGCCACATAAAGCGCTAAAAGGCCATGGTTACAATGTATGTTCTGAATGGTAGGAGGGTGCCATTCAATTCAAGAGGATAGCTTGAATTCTAATAATACTTTGTTCCTTGGAATAAGCATAGCAAACCAACTGGTCTGTGTGCACCAGTATTCCAAGTCTAATTAAATGGTCTGTAACCTGATTGTGAGTTGTGGGATCTAACTAAAGTGTAACATGTCTTGAAATGTAGCATATCAGAATGGCTGGTACGTGTTGTAATTAGTAGGAGTCTAGGAAACTCTATCCCTGGTTATACCCAGGAAAACAGAATGCTATGCTGTCAATTGCTTTATATGTTCAAGACTAGTTAGTTTTCTTAGGCGAGACAAACTAAACATTCCCTGTTTCTTCTTCATCCTGGGTAGCTTCTGAACATCTCCTATAGAAAGCAAATTTAGAAGCTGTGTTTCTTTCTTTCTAGACTTATTTTCTGTGGGTCTCTGCCAAAGACTGTGTTCACGTACATCTGGATCTTACCAGGTGAGTATCAGAACCACTCAGCAAAGTGTCTTTCCATCTTGTTAAGCTGCAGGTGTCACTGGTTGAATGGAGTTTGGGCAGGCAGAATCCCAATGTATTATCTATAGCAATATTGGCAATAATGGTGACAATGAGGATAAAAACTAAGCTCTTGTCTAAGGATCATGCAGGATTTGGGGAGGATTTCTGGAGGACTTTCCCCCCCCCTTTTCTGAATTTTTTTCCATTGGGTGGTATGGTGTTAAAAGATTAAAGATCAAAACTGGCACTAATTCTGAATGGAGTATTTTCTTGCTTTGGAGTAAAAGTAGGCAAACTTTTGGAGACAAGTTTGCCAACTTTGAGAGGCCCCCAAATCCTTAATGCATGGGACACAATCATGCAGGCAGGATTTTCCTTTGTATTTCTAGTAGTCTAATAGTTTTAAGAGATTGGGGATTTTTGTTTAATTACTGTATGTCAAACCTACTGTACAGCTTAGTCTACAGCGTTCATTTATTTCTTGCCTGAAAATGGTGGGAAATCACTGCCAATTTTCAGCAATTGTGATGAAAGAGGGCTCTATGTATCCCAAGAAAGATATTCAAGGGCCTTATGCAGCTCTGGAACAATCACTTGCTAATTGCTACTCTGGACTGCTAAGAGGTCAAACCAATCAATTTAAAGGAAATCAACCCTGATTGCTCATTGGAAGGATTGATAATGAAGCTCAAGCTCAGATACTTTGGTCACCTAATGTGAAGAGA